AGTAAAAGGTAAATGCACTTGTATCCACAGAGCTTCAATATTATCCTTCATTAAATCAGATCGTAGTTTTACTGGCATGTGATCTTGTATGTAAATTGCTATGCCACCACCAAAATTGTTTCTGTCCCTACGATATATAAAAAAACCATTAATAGATATTAATGAGTCATCAAATGAACCATCTAAATGTGTTTCAGTTATAACCATAATATCATTGTTTTTTAAAAGTGTTTCAAGTTCATGTATTTTGTTCCTCAAACTACAGATATTTAAGTGTGCGAAAATTAAGCCCTTGGGTAAGTTCATAGTGAGTTGATTCCTTGTCAGTAGTTCAGTTCAGTCCATGGTGATGCTGAATAGGAGCTGAAGTTGAAGAAGACCAGAGAGCTAGGCTCTAGCTCCCATCCCTTACTTTTGGGAGGGGGGATGGCCAATAGGCCTATCATATCGGATGTAGGCTATGTCGCCGCATTCTCTGGCAGCTTTCATGGCAGGGATGAGTTCCGTGTGCTTTTATATATCATAACCGTGTACATATCCCTACAGGAAAGTGCAGGCTACATAGAGGCTGTACCAACATAATCAGCTAACACAAGGTACAGGAATGAAATTAAAATTGGATTTTTTTTTCTTCCCATTGCTATACTATTTGTCAGATGATATAACTCAGATTTTCACTACCTAAGGAGAAGTGTTGAGCTTTTTTTTTGCAAAATTGGTTTCAGATTAAGGAGCTGTCCAAGGTGCTTATGCATAGTATTAAGTTATTGCTATAAGTAAAAATCTGTCGCAGTCTTCGAATATACAGAAAAACAGATAAAGGTAAAATACTGGACCACCACTGTTATTATTATTATTATTATTATTATTGTTATTATAATATTGTTTGTCATTTTGGATCAAACTAGTTTCATTAAGCTGCCAAATAGTTTACCCTTTCTCTGTAGAACTGGTGTGTTATTTTGAGGTTTTTGAAGGAAATCTAAATTTCAGTCAGTCTGCACTTACGGTTTAGTAAGTTTTTACAGAAAAATTGTAATATTGCAACATTGGGCCTGGATGGGAGCAGAATTTGTGTATTTGCACTCACACTGTCACAACAAATCTACTGAACAACTAAGGGTTCATTTGCAGTGTGGATTTCTTACAAAGCTCTGTAACTGTAAACATCATGAATAATAACCACACAACAGTCACAGTTTTATGAATCATAATTTATTGGGCTAAAAAGAAAAAAATACAGGATGAAAACTTCGGGGCAGACCCAGAACATGCTGGCGGAACTTAAATTAGTGGGAGAAGACAGTGATGACAACTTTGTTTAAAATCCAGTGCCCGGTGTTCATGTACAGTGGTACTCCAAAAAGCAGTTCCTTTCCTCTGAAAAGCAGAGACGGACACTACAATTCCTGCAGAGCGTCTTGGAGTAGCCTTTATTGCAGCGTCCTCTCTTTGTCTTCACTGGGAAATGTGCGATCATGTCCTAAGGCACATCCACTGGTGGTACACATGACCTCTTTGGAGCAGTCACAGGTCTCTGTGGTGTTACTGTCATGGATGTCACTGGTGATACAGGGCGCCTAAAGATGCCACCCTCTCCTTGGTGTGTTGACAGTTGATTTTGTCTGAATAAGATGAGAAAAAATATGAATTACAATGTTAAAAACGGTATAATCTGTGAAATACTAAATAAGGTAAACAACAGAAATGGATTCCTACCAGGATGAGAGAAGATGCTAGAAGCCAGCAGCTGCTAAGAAATCTCCCAAGAAGGCTAAGAAACCGGCAGCGGCCAAGAAATCAGCCAAGAGCCCCAAGAAGGCTGCAAAGAGCCCGAAAAAGGCCACCAAGAGTCCCAAGAAGGTGGCCAAAAAGGCCCCTGCTTCCAAGAAAGCCCCCGCAAAGAAGGCAGCCAAGCCCAAAGTCAAGAAAGCAGCAGCCAAGAAGAAGTGAGCTGTCATCAGTCTCATCAACAAACTACTCACTAATAGGCTCTTTTAAGATCCACCCACACTATTTTTAAAGAGCACTCTGTCATTAATTCGTTAATTAATTAATAAGTTTTTTTTTGTTTTTTTGACTGTATCACTCGTGCTTTGTTCGAGCTATAGTGGGTAATACAAAATAGAGACACATCTCTGATCTATTAATTCTGAATTCATTGCATATTGTAAAATGAATAGTCATCTTATCTGTATACTAAGACAAAGGTGTGCTCATGTTTTTGGAAAGAGTGATGATTGAGTTTTAGAAGAAATAATGATAATAAACAGGGTCTTTTCACAACTGCTATCATTAAATATGTATTGACATACAGTGGTAGAATGTAAACTTAGGTGCATCTGACAGCTTTAGTTACTTGACTTCTACAACATATCAACAAGGTATGAGGTATTAAAGCAGCAGCCAAGAAGAAGCTAAATATAGAGACAACTCTATGTAAATTCTATTATTAATTATATCTCTTTAAATAGTTAACTTATATACAAAGCGAAAAAAAAAGAGATTAGATGTTTATTTGGCCAGTTACGGTTAACTTAATTTTATCTGTATCTCACCCATCAAAAACGACTACAGGGGTTAAAGCAAGAAAAAAATTTGTGCCTGATGTGTCGAGCACGGAAGATTTGTGTGCCTGAAATCTGAAATCTTTTCCGGAGCGGGGGGCGGGGGGGCTTGGTGTTGCGGTCACAAAATGAAGAAATAGAAATGTATGTATTGCAAAGGAACGTGTTTATTATCAAAACGAACAAAAAGATTATAGCTTTAGTAGTTACTTTTCAGATTAAACTTTTATAGCATAATGAGTTTATAAATAAAGATTAAACTTTCAGTGGTTACCAGACTTATTGACTTATAACTCCTACATCTCTTTTTTGCCTTGGTGCTATTTATTTTTAGAAGCTAAATCATTTAGGCTGTTTGCAAAATGCGCTTGATGTGAATTAAACAGGCAGTTACGTCGAAATTGCCTCTGGGCAAGCATGTCATCATTGAAATGGATCATATAATGTTGTGGTGGTGACTTTAAAACTTCAGCATAGAGGACTTTTATTGCAACTTTCGTTTCTGTCTGGTTTCTGTTATGATATTCTGTTATGACATGATGTGAAAGCATGCACAGGCGTCAGTGTTGATTGGCTATCACTTGTGCTGTGTAACCAGAGGGGATTGTAGGCGGGACATTGTTACAAAGCCCAGTGCAGGGAGCGAGACGGCTGTATCAGAGCCGAAGGAGCAAGTTTTAAAATACATTTATTTGATCAGTTATCGATGAAAAAAAGTCCAATGCTGATTACGGTAAACAGTAGATTGTGTTTACTGGCACACTGTGCGCCTAAATCATTTTCCCAGTTCGCACATATAGTGGCCAATGCGAGTGAAATGCTCGCACTGCAGAGTACTGCCCGTGCCGGACAGAAACTTCGCCACGTCGGAAATTCGGCGCTGTGCCGGAGAACTTTAACCCCTGCGATTAACAACGTATTGCTCTACAGATGTAAAAGGCAGGGTATCTTCACTTTATAATACAGTCACATGAGACAGGCGCACATTAAAATTTCCTTTATTCTGCTTTTTGTGAAATCACGTCATTCGGAACGCTTAATTAAACAGTGACGGAACAATTCAGACCGAAGCGACATCAGGAATTATCTTCAGAGAAAGTGGGTGGCTCTTAGAAGAGCCTTTGTATTGATGGTTTTTTGTCAACAGGTTTATTTGGAGCTGGTGTACTTGGTGACGGCCTTGGTGCCCTCAGACACTGCGTGCTTGGCCAGCTCACCGGGCAGCAGCAGGCGGACGGCGGTCTGGATCTCCCTGGAAGTGATGGTGGAGCGCTTGTTGTAGTGAGCCAGACGGGAGGCCTCACCGGCGATGCGCTCAAAGATGTCGCTCACAAACGAGTTCATGATGCCCATAGCTTTGGACGAAATGCCGGTGTCGGGGTGGACCTGCTTCAGCACCTTGTACACGTAGATGGCGTAGCTCTCCCTTCTGGTTTTTCTCTTCTTCTTGCCGGTCTTACTAACGCTCTTAGACACGGCTTTCTTTGAGCCCTTCTTGGGCGCTTTTACAGTGGTTTCAGGCATGATGTGAACAGCCGATTTCTCCTTTAAGGAATGGCGTCATCGTCCGCAGAGGAGTCTATTTGTATCCACCTGATGCAAAAACCACTGTGCTGTTGCTCGCACTGGATTGGTCAGCTTCTGAAGCTGGGGAACAGTACAGTGGGTGGGTGAGGGGAGAAAGAAGAAAGAAAATCAGGTTATTTAAAAAGTTAAAAGAAATAGTCGGCGTTGAGTTAAATACAATTATTAAGCTATTTAGATAGTAAATGATACATACCCTGTTATAAATGATATAATTGATGCCATTCCTTTTCAAATTATATACAAAAGAAATTATTAAATCAAATCTGTTCAAAAGCTTCTCTCTCTGATCTATACAGGATTTTACAGAACTCCGGCTCCTGATTGGTGAGGGGCTCCTACGGAGCTCAGCACCGCCTGAAGGAGCGACCCACCGCCCGAGACTCAGCTGCTTATTGGCTGGAAATCCTTTCAAAAGGTCCGCCAAAATTCAGGCTGGGCCGCCCTCTGCTGCTCTGCTGAAGCCTCTTTTCTGGTTGGTCTGGCAGGAACCGTCCCGCGCTCCGTGGATATATAGAGGAGGGTTTCAGCTGCTGAGAGAACACTTCTCTTTGTCCCGACTTTAGAGAGCATCTGAAAAATGAGTGGCCGCGGAAAAACCGGTGGAAAAGCCAGAGCCAAGGCAAAGACCCGCTCCTCCCGTGCTGGGCTCCAGTTCCCAGTCGGCCGTGTCCACAGGCTGCTGCGCAAAGGAAACTATGCGGAGCGTGTCGGTGCCGGCGCCCCCGTCTACCTGGCGGCTGTGCTGGAGTACCTGACCGCTGAGATCCTGGAGTTGGCTGGAAACGCTGCCCGCGACAACAAGAAGACCCGTATCATCCCTCGTCACCTGCAGCTGGCTGTCCGCAACGACGAGGAGCTCAACAAGCTGCTGGGCGGAGTGACCATCGCTCAGGGCGGCGTGCTGCCCAACATCCAGGCTGTTCTGCTGCCCAAGAAGACCGAGAAGGCCGCCAAGTCCAAGTAAACCTGGACACTCTTTGACTGCTGGAAACTAGCCCCCAAAAAGGCTCTTTTAAGAGCCACACACTCCCCTCATAAAGAGCTCTGCTTCTCATGTTGCAAATGTAAGAAACTATTTAAAATTAACGTATTTTTATCTAATGTTCTGTTATAATCTTTGACAATGGAAAAACACAATTATCCCAGATATAGATGTGTTGAAAAAGCAGTCCCGTGATAATGGTGTCAAAGTAAGAATAAACTAACAACTAAAAGAGATCATAAAGGGGCATAAAACGCTTCAAAAGTAGTTAACCTTTCTGAAATAATCCCCAGAGGATCTGAACAGTTGAAGTAATTCAAACTGACTAGAAATACAGAAGGCAAAGATACAGAGTCAGAGAGAGATGCTACCAGACACAAGATGGAGGCAGCTAATGACCAAATAGCCTACTGAACGAACCTCAAAGGACATAAAGCACAAAAGTGTACAAACAGTAAGCTGTGGGTGGCCTGGCAAAAACTATGCACAGGGCATATTAATTTCAATTGATAATATTAAGCTAAACCCATCAGTAGAGGCTGAGCCACTGTCTGTTTTTTGTTCAGTGTAGTAAGCGTGGACGGACTTGGCCTAACCTGTCATTTTTCACAGGTGTCCTCTCTGATGAAAGTTCCCATGGATTGTTTAGTGATCAGGTGACTGTCATCCAGCTGAAGATTGGGTCTCATTTGTTTTTTTCCACTTTTTTTCCAATAATCATGACTTGGATTTGTTTGTTTATATCTTCACTGACACATGAGGTTGACCAATTATCTGGCCAGCTGATGAGTGGATGTTCTAAGCTACTTCATTTAAATTATCCATTATAGTTGTTTGTACAGTAGATAAGTCCACAATACTCTTTAGTTTACACATAAATGCCAGCCTTTATATTTAAGTGTTGTATAAAATGTCTTGTTTTGGAATTGTGTTTGGTTTTGTATCCTCTGGAGGCGCCAGACTTGTTTTATATAATCTTGAAATAATTTATTGAATATATCCCTCTTTTATTGTGTAGGTTCTGATATTTGTGCAATTTAATTCTGATAGAAGTTGTTGTATGCTGCACCTGACTGTCATGTCCCCAGTCAGTGTGATAAACAGGGCTCCTCTGGGATAGTCATGAAACACATCAGTAATTATCATCTTAAGTATAACATTCATTATTCTGACATGGGCCATTCTCCATAATTACTACCTTTACTTTTGGTACTTTAAGAATATGTGATAGTAATAATTTGTATTGTTGATAAAGTAAAACTTTGATTGCAGGACTTGTAACAGAGTATTAAATTGCTCCTTTTAAAAGATCACAGTACTTACAGAACTGGTCAATTAGGACAACTTTCATAAAGCAACTCAAGTATAAACTTATGAAGTTTAGTTGTTAATCATTGTTGTCCTGTTGTTGTCAGTCAATAAATCACCTCACACCTCTGTTTCTACAGTAAATACATCTGATCGCAGGGAAGGTTACATGTTTTGCACATGCTCAGTCTCGCTCAGAAGAAACCGAGGTGAGCAGGCTGAGAAAGTAAATTGGTTACTAAGATAAAGGAGATAAACGCTTGCTTCAGGGACTTCTACACGGAATTGTATTCCAGTAGAGTAAATGCCACTGAAACTGATTTTTCAAACGTTTTGCCAGTCTAAAGGTTCCTCAATTAGACAGTGCATCACAAGATGATATGGATGCTCTGATTGCTAAAAGTGATGTCTTGAATGCTATTCAGGCCTTCCCCTCTGGAAAAGCAGCTGGCCCAGAAGGCTTTGGCTGTGAATTTTACAAAGCATTTCATGAAAAAGTTGTCCCTTTCATGCTTAGGATGGTGAATGACTCCATGAGAAATAAGAGGCTCCTCAGCTCATTGTATGGCTAAAAGATTGGGTAATCATATTTCAGCAAATGATGAAATACTTCACAGTGTGAAGTTTTGTGATGTTGAATATACGTGGATGATTTACTGATCTGTTTATCGTACCCAGTAGTCTCTGTTCCCGACCTCCTGACCTACATTAAATCATTAAGCAGACTGTCAGGATTACAATTAACTGGGAAAAATTGTGAGTTTATGCCTTTGAAGAATAATTTGTGTCCTATATTCTTGAAATCTTTGCCATTTAAAATACTCGCTACCCACATTAAATAAACCCCCTTGCATTTCTAAAGCCCAGTTATAGAAGAATGCAAATAAATAAATAAATACACTGATTGATTAATATGTGTTTTGTCTGTGGGTGTGAACATGGTGACTTTGTCTCAATCCATTGTCTTCCCTGTAAATCCATGTGATCATTGATTGATGACCCAGGTCTATTTCAAAGTCATGAAATCAACCAGACTTGATGCTGTTCGCTCGCAGTAACTCCAAACAGCTTTATGACACAGATTCTGATTCAGTCTGTTTGGTTAATTCAAGACGGGCTGTTTATAATAAGACCTGCTTTTCTGAGTCACCTCAGAGGAATACCAGCACAGTATTATAATTCAGGAAGAGATCAGGGAAACACATTTGGACAATAAAGATACCTCAATGCCTCATCGGGTCATTTGTACAAATACAGTAGAGTTCTGTGATGAAGCTATGATGCAAGAATTATGCTGCTGTGAGAAAATGGGCTGTAGGCCTATATGTGGGACAGCCCACACAGAGTTTTAGAGCGTGAAGCACAGATCTGTTTTTAAAGCACCAAAGAGCAGCTCAGTCGCTGTCCAAGGTCCTGTTTTATGGCATTTGTTTCTCATCTTGGTAGTTTCAGTTGACAGTGAGCTGTGATGCTGCCACCAGGCTGCAGTCTTTGTATTGGACCACAGAAACTGACACATGTGGAGCGAAGGGAAATACGAAACAGAGATGTCTTCACCTCAGGATGATCAATAACATGCACACAACATGTGTTCTGGATTTAATCTTTTATCAAGAAAGGGCAAACACTGTGTGTAACATTTAAAGTCACGTACTGCTTCCACAGACAGCTGACATGTATTTGTCGGTGTGTTTGATCATTAATAGTACAACTACTAACTATTTAAATCTAAAGGAGTCACAGCAGCAGCTCTGATGGTCAGTCTGGCTGAACTGCACCATGAGCCTCGGCCATCATCAGTGTGTTTGCTGCGACCAGAATAACTTCAGTTTATTCCAAAGTCATCAACAGCAGATGGTTGTTTTTACACTGAGTCCTTGAACAAACATGTGGGCTGCTGGAAAACGGCTTTGATGGAGCTGTGATGCATTTGAAGTCATTTTAGGAGAGAAATGAGTGGGAAAAGCCGCTGAGCAGTGCTGGCCACGGCGGTGAATAGGTGAGGTTTGGAGGCTCCACAGACAAAATGCAGAGAGCATCAGAGCTCTACATGACTTGAATATGAAGAGACACAAGTCCGCTATCGGCTCCCTTCACTGTCAGCCTTCAGCACTTGTCCCACATTTAGTTTTTCACCTTTTCTCAGTCAAGAGAAAACACAAGTGCTCCAGCTTTCACACTGCACAGAGGAGCCACGGGCTGGGTTGAGTCTCCACGGTTCTCACGGTGTGTTTAAGGACAGCCTCCTGCTCGGAGCTTTCAACAGTCCAGTCAGACACTCTCGTGTGTTACTCGGCAAGAACAACATGGCAGAGACAGCTCCAGCTCCAGCCGCCGCGCCGGCCAAAGCCGCCAAGAAGAAGGCGCCTAGACCGAAGAAGACCGGTCCCAGCGTCAGCGAGCTCATCCTGAAAACTGTGGCCGCATCCAAGGAGCGGAGCGGCGTGTCTGCGGCCGCCCTCAAGAAGGCTCTGGCTGCCGGAGGCTACGATGTGGACAAGAACAAGTCCCGCGTCAGGACCGCCATCAAGGCCCTGGTGGCTAAGGGCTCTCTGGTCCAGACCAAAGGGACCGGGGCCTCCGGCTCCTTCAAGATGAGCAAGAAGGCTGCCGAACCTAAGAAGGTCAAGAAGCCGGCCAAGAAAGCCGCTCCTAAAGTCAAGAAGCCCGCAGCGCCCAAAAAGCCCAAGACAGCGGCAGCTAAGAAGCCAACAGCCGCTAAGAAGTCTCCCAAGAAGGCCAAGAAACCCGCAGCGGCCAAGAAAGCAGCCAAGAGCCCCAAGAAGGCTGCAAAGAGCCCGAAAAAGGCCACCAAGAGCCCCAAGAAGGTGGCCAAAAAGGCCCCTGCAGCCAAGAAAGCCCCTGCAAAGAAGGCAGCCAAGCCCAAAGTCAAGAAAGCAGCAGCCAAGAAGAAGTGAGCTGTCATCAGTCTCATCAACAAACTACTCACTAAAAGGCTCTTTTAAGAGCCACCCACACTATTCTTAAAGAGCATTTTCCCATTTATTATTTCAATACAATAAAAGAAGAAGAAAAAAAAACTAGTGTTAGATTTAATATTTATTATGTATAGCTACTGAATATTAATTTTTATATGGCCTAATTACAAAAGTAAAAACAAACCTCCAAGAGCTAAATGTTCTTTTCACATCTTATCACAACTGATATAAATAAACATGTTTTTTCTTACAGTTGTATTAACAGTGGTGGAATGTATCTAAGTAGGCTTGAGCACTGTTTTGAAGTGTCCAATAATATTTTCATTTTATGTTGGTTTATAGGTTATTTCTGCAACTCTTTCCTGCACTACATTTATCTGACAGCTGCTTCATCTTAAACTAATAATTGATGATGTTTGCTTTCTCACATTAAAAATCTGTTTGTGACCTTACAATCAGCAAATAAGTTTAATGCATACTTTTCCAAAAGTCATGATTGTTTTGGGAGGTATAAACCGATAAAAAATAATAATTTAGGAGTGCCACGTATCTTTCTTCGCTCATTTTTAAACTTCTTTCATTTTACTAGTTTTAAACCTCATTTTCCCCCATCCATCAAGAAGTGGATGCTAATATTTACATGAACTGGCTATAAATATACCCCTCTGCTCTTGAACACGTCACTGGACTTGAGAGAAACATCTGGCTGAAGCCATGCCCGAAGCCACCGTGAAAGCGTCCAAGAAGGGCTCAAAGAAAGCCGTGTCTAAGAGTGTCAGCAAGTTACGCCATCTATGTGTACAAGGTGCTGAAGGGCATCATGAACTCGTTTGTGATCAACATCTTTGAGCGCATCGCTGGTGAGGCCTCCCGTCTGGCTCACTACAACAAGCGCTCCACCATCACTTCCAGGGAGATCCAGACCGCTGTCTGTCTGCTGTGACACAATTCTTACATCAGGCAGTAGGATAAGACAAAAATTGTTACCTTGTTGATATATCTGGCAATATGCTTTCCTGTGAGCAGTTCATGCTCGTACATTAATTTCAGTTCCTTTCAGAGAATCAATTTCTTTGTCTCGGATATATAGTGTTATCATATTGCTAAATTTACAGGCTATAATGCCTCCTGCTCTTTTTGTAAAAAATAATATAAAAAATATTTCTCCTTTAACCTCAGATATCAAATTGTTCTTGAAGCTCATTAATTTTCTTTTTCTAAATGCTCAACTTTTTACTTTCAAGCACACATTATGTAAGTCAATGAATTTTCGTGAATTTTTACCTTTTCTTATAAATTCAAGCCTCTTCTCAAGTCACCCAGTTATTCTTTTTAGTTCCTAAAAAACATCCTTGTATCTTTTTTTTGTCTCTTCTGTTTGTTTTGTTTATTTTGTGCAATTGTCTTGAAATACTTTTGTTCATATATTTTAAATATACTTATGTAACACTTTTTTGTTTCATATGGTTTTCATGAACTACCTGATGTTTTGTTCTTATTCTCAGAAAAAAAGCGAGACAAAAAAAGGCGGTTTAAAGATGAGTTATTCACAGTAGAATAGTAATTTCCCGCCTCTACTGTGAAGGTGAAGGGTTCATCAGTGTCCTAGTTTCTATTGTTAGAACAAACGTCTCCGCCCAGCTGAGCTCAACTACGTCCGCAGCAAGGATTTATTTACCCACGTTCACAACGTCCCACCTTCAGTTTTTGCTTCGGTTCAAACGAGACTCTGACGAAATGAGTGGTCGCGGCAAAGGAGGAAAAGGACTCGGTAAAGGAGGCGCCAAGCGTCATCGCAAAGTTCTCCGTGATAACATCCAGGGAATCACCAAACCCGCTATCCGCCGTCTGGCTCGCCGTGGTGGAGTGAAGCGTATTTCTGGTCTGATCTACGAGGAGACCCGCGGTGTTTTGAAGGTGTTTCTGGAGAATGTTATCCGTGATGCCGTCACCTACACCGAGCACGCCAAGAGGAAGACTGTGACCGCCATGGATGTGGTGTATGCTCTGAAGAGGCAGGGTCGCACTCTGTACGGCTTCGGAGGTTAAATCACCGTCTCCTCTCACTGCAACACAACGGCTCTTTTAAGAGCCACCCACAACATCTCAAGAGCTCCTTTCTGTTGATTTAATACAGCTGTATGTTCCCATTTGAAGTGTATAGAGTACCATCTATGTGACGCAATCATGACAACATTGCGAATGCTTAGTTACAGATTAACAGATTATCTGAGAGCAGGCCTGGACTGGCCGTCGGGTATATCTGAAACATTCACTGTCACAGACGGAAAAGTATAACTTACAGTAAAACCATTTAATGTTACAATGAACTACAGAGGTGGAAGAAGTAACACTCAGATCTTTTTGTTTTTTTTTTTTATTGAAACGTAACAACATTGTGAAAATAGTTTCAAGTCAAAGTCCTACATTCATATTTTCTTTTTCATTTATTAGCGTCACTAATTACAGAACAAAAAGTAAAGTTACCCCTCTCATGTTGCAGAATGACCAATTCTAAAATTCTATTAGCTTGTAATTATCATTGCATTAATGTTAATCATTTTATCTGCTGTAGGTAACAATAAGATAAGATAGACCTTTACTGATGCCACAACTGAGAAATTCCAGTGTAACAGCGGTCAAGGAGAAAGAGTCAGAAAGAAAATGTCAAACATTAAAAACTTTGGCAACAAGGCATGCAAAAGAAAGTACAAAAATACGAATAAGAAACAGCAATTGATAAAAATAATAATCATAAGTGGATCATAATGAGCAATGGATTAAAGAGAGCATATCGACCAAGGTACCTTTTAACCGTTTGTTTTCCTGGAATAACTGACACAATCAGAAACCAGAAACAAGTCGTTTTTTCGTTTTGTTGTTTTTTTTTTTTTTTTTTTTTTTTTGTTTTTGGCAAAAAAAACTCAACTCAATTTCTTGTGTTCTGATCCTACTTCAAAAAACAAATTTACCACTCCATATTTCGTTTCATTGGTGGGCGGGCTCTCAGCGCTCCCTTGCTTCAGCACGTTAGCCAATCAGAAGCAAGTGACAATGAGTGATCAATTATGCTTTTTTAAATCAAACTTTCCCATGATGATTTATTGTAAGGGCTAAGTTTAAAAACAGCACAAAACAAAACAACCCTTTTAATTAATGACAGAGTGCTCTTTAAAGATGGTGTGGGTGGCTCTTAAAAGAGCCTTTTAGTGAGTAGTTTGTTGATGAGACTGATGACAGCTCACTTCTTCTTGGCTGCTGCTTTCTTGACTTTGGGCTTGGCTGCCTTCTTTGCGGGGGCTTTCTTGGCTGCAGGGGCCTTTTTGGCCACCTTCTTGGGGCTCTTGGTGGCCTTTTTCGGGCTCTTTGCAGCCTTCTTGGGGCTCTTAGCTGCTTTCTTGGCCGCTGCGGGTTTCTTAGCCTTCTTGGGAGACTTCTTAGCGGCTGCTGGCTTCTTAGCTGCCGCTGTCTTGGGCTTTTTGGGCGCTGCGGGCTTCTTGGCTTTAGGAGCGGCTTTCTTGGCCGGCTTCTTGACCTTCTTCGGTTCGGCAGCCTTCTTGCTCATCTTGAAGGAGCCGGAGGCCCCGGTCCCTTTGGTCTGGACCAGAGAGCCCTTAGCCACCAGGGCCTTGATGGCGGTGTTGACGCGGGACTTGTTCTTGTCCACATCGTAGCCTCCGGCAGCCAGAGCCTTCTTGAGGGCGGCCGCAGACACGCCGCTCCGCTCCTTGGATGCGGCCACAGTTTTCAGGATGAGCTCGCCGACGCTAGGACCGGTCTTCTTCGGTCTAGGCGCCTTCTTCTTGGCGGCTTTGGCCGGCGCGGCGGCCGGAGCTGGAGCTGGAGCTGTCTCTGCCATGTTGTTCTTGCCGAGTAACACACGAGAGTGTCTGACTGGACTGTTGAAAGCTCCGAGCAGGAGGCTGTCCTTAAACACACCGTGAGAACCGTGGAGACTCAACCCAGCCCGTGGCTCCTCTGTGCAGTGTGAAAGCTGGAGCACTTGTGTTTTCTCTTGACTGAGAAAAGGTGAAAAACTAAATGTGGGACAAGTGCTGAAGGCTGACAGTGAAGGGAGCCGATAGCGGACTTGTGTCTCTTCATATTCAAGTCATGTAGAGCTCTGATGCTCTCTGCATTTTGTCTGTGGAGCCTCCAAACCTCACCTATTCACCGCCGTGGCCAGCACTGCTCAGCGGCTTTTCCCACTCATTTCTCTCCTAAAATGACTTCAAATGCACCACAGCTCCACCAAAGCCGTTTTCCAGCAGCCCACATGTTTGTTCAGGGACTCGGTGTAAAAACAACCACCAGCTGATGATGACTTTGGAATAAACTGAAGTTATTCTGGTGTCAGCAAACACACTGATGATGGCCGAGGCTCATGGTGCAGTTCAGCCAGACTGACCATCAGAGCTGCTGCTGTGACTCCTTTAGATTTAAATAGTTAGTAGTTGTAGCCTACTATTAATGATCAAACACACGAACAAATACATGTCAGCTGTCTGTGGAAGTAGTACGTGACTTTAAATGTTACACACAGTTTCACTGATACATTCCTAAATATTATTAAAAGACTTAATCAAGTGTCACACAACAGTTAGCCTATTCGGTGTTTTCTGCTGAGGTTCAAGGTGAGGACTGACTGAAATTTAGATTTGGACTTCCTTCAAAACTTTCAAAGTAACAGCAGCTCAGATAAACTTTATGTCATTGTTCTGAATAGAAACCAGTTTGACCCAAAATTCAAGAAGGACACACATGTTGAGTGGATTCATAAGAGGCTCTGATGTGGAAAGGTATACTTTACATTATTTACCTATGTTACGTAACAGAAACATAAACGTTTATATTTCATATAAATAATAAATACATTAGTGGTAGCAGGAATGCTGTCAGTCAGTGTGCACAAGCACAAGAAACCTTTATACACTCACCTGTCCTCTCATTTCTGACTCCCTGTCCTTCAGTCTGACTGTTTCTACCCTGAATTTGTCACAGCCTGTCACAGCGTTTGCTCTTTTCTGGAAAAAGATTAAATCCAGAGCACATGTTGTGCGCATGTTACTGATCATCCTGAGGTGAAGACATCTCTGTTTCTTATTTCCCTTTGCTCCACATGTTATGTGTCAGTGTCTGTGGTCCAATACAAAGACTGCAGTCTGGTGGCAGCATCACAGCTCACTGTCAACTCAAACAACCATGATGTGAAACAAACACTCAGTGATGATGTCATGAAACAGGACCTTGGACAGCGACTGAGCTGCTCTTTGGTGCTTTAAAAACAGATCTGTGCTTCACACTCTAAA